CTCTCTGGGGGGGGGTGGGGGAGCAACGCTTCTACCCAATTCCCCTCAGTTCTAGGTTGGGGGGGGGAGGGAAGCAGGCGCAACTCTGGGTCTCCCCTTCCGCGGCAGGCCGGGAGGCGGTTATCCCGCCTGCTCCCTCCCTCCCTAGGCTCCAGGCTGCGTTTGTTTCCCTTCTCCTCAGTGCCAGGCGCGCCGGCTGAGGGGTGGCTGTTTGTGGGGTGAGGGGAAAGGAGGAGGGGGGGAGAGACAAAAGCAAGGACGACGGTTACGCGCCGTTTGTGGTTGGTTACCTGTCAGCCGGCTCGCCTCAGCCCTCCCGCGGTGCGTGTGCGCGTCCCGGCCGCGAAGCCCCGAACGAGACCCGCTGACACCAAGGCGGAAGTGAGACCCCCGTCGTCGTCGTCTCCCCACCCACCTACCCCTTCTTCTCTCCTCCGACAGACAAGCCGAACCGTCCAATCGTGAGGCGTGGCGCGTGGTGACGAAAGAAACGCACCCTCCCTTCCTTCCACCAGGACGGGCTCGCTCGCTCGCTCTCTTCCAGTCAGCCTGGTCGCCTCGTTCCTCCTCTCCCCTGACCAATGGGCCGCGAGCAGAGGGGCGTGGCCTCATGGCAATGATGGGTACGGGTTGCCGCAGGACAGCCGCCGTCGGAGAGCGCTGGCTCCCGGCCACGCCCACCTCTCTTGCCCCACCCACTGAACCGATACGGGCGAAGCGGTTTGGACCAATAGGGTGTCCTCAGGGGGGCGTGGCCATGGAACTCTTGAAGTAGGCGGTCGCGTGCCTGTTGGGGTGTATCCGAATCGCGTGGGAGGTTCGTGGGGTGGAGGTCGTGAGGAGGCGGCGCCGGGGATGTGGTGTCATAACTCGTGTCCTCCCTTGTTTGCTCGAAGAGCCCTTTGGGCGGGGTGGTGGCTTATCCCATTCCACAAACTTTTCAGTTTTTCCGCATTGGCAGTTTATTTTTTTATGTTGTAAAACAAAGAGCCTGATGAAGAATTCTGTTGGTTTCGGAAGGTGGCGGTGTTTTTATTTTCCCTTTTCTTTCCAAGAATGGTGTCGCCTAACTCTGTTTACTAATTTGCGTGTTGTTGTTTTTTTAAAACCAATTCCTATCATAACATGGTTCAATAGCTCGATGTATATACTTTGGAAGACTTTGTTTCATCAAAATCGTGGCCCATCTAGGGAAAGGCACCCTTGTTTGCTTGAGAAGGAGGAGCCCTACACAACTGAAGTGGGCTTAGAGCTACCTATATGTGCGCTGATTCCTTACGATTGTGGTCTTGGAGGACAGCTTTACAGGTGTCATGGCCTGTCAGAAAGCAAACAGGTGGGTTCTCGATCAAGCCAGAGCTTTCACTACGAACTGAAATGACTGAACTATCTGCATTTTAACCTTGGAGGTCAGCACCGAGAATAAAAGTTGTGGCATTGATTTTTTTTCAATACTGTATTTCTATATGCATAACTAGATTAGTCTATTAAAAACACAGCTTCATACAATATATACATTGCAAGCTGTGTGTTTCAGATCTTGCATGGGTTGGTGTCACTTAGTATGCCCTACCTATGGTTAGCTGGCCAGATAGCTGAGTGGTTTAGGTATCTGGTTGGGATTCAATTTCTCACTGTGCCTCCTCTGAAGAAAGCCAGCCTGGGTGGCCTTGGACAAGCTGCATAATCCAAGGGTGCTCCCAGGAGAAGGGAATGATAAACCACTTATGTGTATTCTCTACCTGGAAGACCCTGAAGAGCAGTGGTCAGGGAACAGGGGTAAATTACCCCAAATAAGGTAAAAATAAAAATCCTGGGGGTAATGAGGATGAGCAGAGCCCCAATATTGATGCTCTCATATCCAAGATGAAGCAACATCATTTCTCCAAAATCTG